GGGGGGGGCTACTGGCCTGGGGGCTCGGCCCCACAGCCCGGCCGCGGGGGGGCCCGGGGTTGGGCTGAGGGTCCCCCCGGCTCCCCGGTGCTCGGGGTCACGGCGGGCGCTGGGTGAGGAGTACACGCGTGTGCGGGTGCGTGTGAGCACACCCGTGTCGGAGCGTGTGGCCGTGTGCGTGTATATCCAAGGGGGGGGGCTGTTTTGCTGCCGCGGGTCCCCGTGTCTGTCCGTCCGCCCGCCTCGTCCCGCTGTCTGTCCGTGTCCCCGGCTGTGCGTGTGCCAGCGCGTGTGCCCGTGTCTCTCCGTGTCAGTGTGTCTGTGTGTGCTCGGCCGTGTCCCTCCGTCTGTCTGACGGCTGTTTGTGCAGCGATGCTCCCCTTCCCTGGGCCCCCGGCCCGCCCCCGCGGGGCTGGGGGCTGCCGTGGGTGGGCGCGGGCCTGGGGGGGAGCGGGGGGCCGGGATCACCCCCAGCCCGATGCCTGCAGTGCAGATCATAAATCAGCGGCGGCTGGAGCGGGAGCCGGGCCCCGCGGGCTCCCCGGCACCCGGGGCAGGGAGCGATGGGGCTTCCCGGGCTCATGAGACCCCCGGCAGCCCCCCAGGGCCGCCAGCGGGGTGGCCTGTCCCCCCCGTCCCCCTCGTCCCCGCTGTGGTGCTGGAGGCCAGCAGCCGGCCGGGGCTGGCAACCAGCCCGTGCTGCCAGGGCTGCGGGCACCGCGGCCTCGCTGCCCGCCGGCTCCGGGGGCGACGGGGACGGTCCCCCAGCTGCCACCCGGCTGGCGGTACCCGGGGTGACCCGCCTGTGGCCCTGTTTTGCAGGTGACACCCCCCTCCTTCACCGGGCGGCGGGAGCAGCCGTGGAGCCGCCGAGGACGTGGGCCGGGCACGAGGTGGAAGAGGAGGAGTGGGTGTCTGGTCTCGGGGACAGCACCGTGGCCGCGTGTCCCCACCGCCGTCCGCAGCCGCCACCACCCTCGAGCCGACGCAGTCCGTGAGGTCCTGGTGAGGCTTTTCGGAGCCTGAGCCCTGCCAGCGCCGCGGGGAGGAGGAAGAGCCGAGGAAGACGCGCCGGGTGATGGATGGCCCCGGCCCCGCGCGGCGGCCCCGGGGGAGCGGCACCGGGCGGCTCGGGGACCTCGGGGACCTGGCTGGCAGCGCCCGCCTCCGCTGAGCCCCGCGGCAGGGCTTGGGGGGGCTCCGGGTGACCCCCCGGCCCCCGCGCCAGGCCGGGCAGCGGGGCCGAGCCGCCGCGTCCCCGGCATGGCCCGGCAGGGCTCGGGAGCCATGCTGCCCTCGGGGGGCCTGGGCTTCCCCCCGCAGAACCTGGCCCGCGTGGTGGTGTGGGAGTGGCTGAACGAGCACGGGCGCTGGAGGCCCTACTCGGCCGCCGTGTGCCACCACATCGAGAACGTGCTGAAGGAGGACGCCCGCGGGTCCGTGGTGCTGGGCCAGGTCGATGTCCAGCTGGCCCCCTACGTCATCGACCTCCAGTCCATGCACCAGTTCCGGCAGGACACGGGTAAGGGGCTGGCACTGAGCCAGGGACATCCAGCCACCGAGTCACGCAGCCATCCTTCCATCCCTCTGTCCTTCCATCCCTCCATCCTTCCATCCTTCCATCCCTCCATCCCTCCATCCTTCCATCCCTCCATCCTTCCATCCCTCCATCCTTCCATCCATCCATCCTTCCATCCATCCATCCATCCATCCTTCCATCCTTCCATCCCTCTATCCTTCCATCCCTCTATCCTTCCATCCCTCCATCTTTCCATCCCTCCATCCTTCCATCTCTCCATCTTTCTATCCCTCCATCCTTCCATTCCTCCATCCTTCCATCTCTCCATCTTTCTATCCCTTCATCCTTCCATCCATCCATCCATCATTCCCTCTCTCCCTCCCTCCTTCCATCTCTTTGTCCTTCCATCCACTTGTACATCCCTCCCTCCACTTGTACCCCCCTCTCTCCCTCCTTACATCATTCCATTCCTCCATGCTTCCATCCATTCTTCCGTCCATCCATTCTTCCATCCATTCATCCCTCCATCCTTCCATCCTTCCTTACATCTCTCCGTCCTTTCATCTCTCCCTGTGTGTATCTGTCTGTTGTTCCATTCATCTGTCTGTTCAGCTGTCCATTTCTCCATGAATCTGTCACTGCTTGTCTGTCATTCCATCCATCCATCCATCCATCCACCCATCCAGCCAGCCGCTGCCTCATCCTTCCTTCCCTCCCTGTGTATCTCTGCTTACTTGTCTGTTGCTTCATTCCTGCATCCCTCCATCCCTCCATCCCCCCCTCCCTCCATCCCTCCATTCCTCCCTCCATCTGTCCATCCATCTGTCCCTCCCGTTCCCTCTCTCCTCCCCTCGCCCTGCTGGGCTCTGGTCCCCCCATGGACCTCTCCAGGCTCTTCCTGCCCTTTCCTTTCCCTCTCCACTCTGGACCTACACCCTGGAGGGATCTGTCCCCACATCCCTCCATCCCCTCTCCCCACTGGGGCTGCTGTGGTGGGTGGTGTGTCCCATTATCCCACTGTCCACTCATCTTCCCCTCAAAGCTGCTCCGTATGGGATCCCCCCGGGACTGGGCAGGCCCCAGTTTAGGCACTGGGAGCTGTGGTGGGCACTGGGCTGGTTGCAGATGCGCAGCTGTGCCGGTTGGTGCTGCAGCAGCACATCCAGGCCACGGATCCTGTGGGAAATCAGAGCTGGTCCCACACTGGGACCAAGCCCAGACCCCGTTAAATGTGTGCCCGTCACGGTGTGACCCATTAAACCGGCGTGTGCCGGCTGTGCCACGGGGGATGTGCCATTCTGGGTGCTTCCCTGCCCATCCCTGCATCCCTGCCAAGGGCAGGATCCGGCTGCAGGCCAGGCAGAGCAGGCAGGGACCTGCCACACATGGGGTGACACCCCCAGCTCCCGCTAGACTGGTCTTGGGACACCCCAGAGCGGGACCCCCCTGGCTGTGCCACCTCAGCCTGGCTGTCACCGTCACCAGTGATGCCAAATGACCCCAAACGAGGACGTGGCTCCTGCCACTGGCTGGGGACTGAGATGGGGACGAAGCCAGGGCCCTGCCCCCTGCCTCTGCCATCCAGCCTGGCTTGGAATTGGTCTCCAGCTGGTCACGGACTTGGCAAAGGGCAGCTTGGCACCGGCAGCCCTGAGTCAGCGCAGACCCCGCGGGTCGTGCCGGTGCCCGCACTGACGCAGAGCTGCGGGAGCCACCGGGACACCCTGGCTGTCCCCATGCCACCTCCTGCCAGCCTTGGCCAGGGCCCATCCTCTGACAGCATCCCATGGCCGCAGTGCTGGGACATCCCTGGGAATGCGTGCCCGAGGTGGGGCCACGGCCGGGTTTGGGGTGACGTCTCTGCTGGGAGCATTCCCAGGATGTCCCCGGTACCACAGTCCCTGTGCCAGCAGGGCTTGGGGACAGGGGTGCTGGGAGAGGGGCCCTGCTGTGCCCAGGGTTGGCACGGGAGGGGACAGGGCCATTGCCCTCAGCATCACGGTCTCCATGTGCCCCATCCCCGTATCCATCTCTATCCATCATCTCTTCCCGTGGGGGAGGCCCAGGGGTTGGAGGCTGTCACGTGCCTTGTGGTGCTTGGGGCCACGAGGGTCCCCTGGTCTGAGGGTGCCTGCTGTGACATGGGGACATGGGGAAAGTGGGCAGGGGGCTCCTTGGCCCACCTCAAACCCCCCGGGGAGGGAGAAACCCAGTGATGGAGTGAAACGAGGTGACCCCGTTCCGAGAGCGGGGACACGTGTCCCCTCCCGGTGGCCCTGGGGACACTGGCTCGGTCCTGGGGCTCCTGCAAGGCTGGGGGGTGGGCAGGGGCTGGGGGGGCTGGGGACAGCTGGTGGCCCTTGGGGACACGAAGCTGAGTGTGCCCACGGGCTTGGGATGGGGAATCCTCCCACAACCTCTCTGGGATGGGGATGTGAGGGGCTGGGGGATGTGGGATTTAGGATATGGAGGGCTGCGGGGTGTGGGGTTTGGGATGGGGATGTGAGGGATAGGGGGATATGGGATTTGGGATGTGAGGGACAGGAGGATTTGGGATAGGGTTGTGAGCAGACAGGGGGATATGGGATACAGTTGCAAGGAGCAATGGATATGGGATGTGTATGTGAGTGAGCAGCAGGATGAGGGCCATGGATGGGGGAAGGAAGCTGGCAGGGATGGGAACTCAGGCGGGATACAGGACATGGACGTGAGCACAGTGTGGATGGGAGTGGCAGTGGGATTGGATGAGTGAACAGTGGGATTGGATGTGAGTGGGTGGTGGAATTGGATGAGTGGACAGTGGGATTGGATGTGGGTGGGCAGTGGGATGTGGACAGGAGCAGGCAGTGGGGTTTAGGATGCAGGCAGGATCAGGCAGTGGGGTTTAGGGTGCAGGCAGGAGCGGGCAGTGGGATTTGGGATGTGGACAGGAGCAGTCAGTGGGGTTTGGGGTGCAGGCAGGAGCAGACAGTGAGGTTTGAAGCGCAGGCAGGAGAGGCAGTGGGGTTTGGGGTGCAGGCAGGAGAGGCAGTGGGGTTTGGGGTGCAGGTAGGATCAGGCAGTGGGGTTTAGGATGCAGGCAGGATCAGGCAGTGGGGTTTGGGGTGCAGGCAGGAGCAGGCAGCAGGCCCGGGCAGCCCCCCCGCCTCCCTCCCGCGGCCCCGGCGGAGCTGCCTCAGCACAAGGCGGCAGCTGGGCCTGGCGCTGCCGCCTGATGCGGCCGATGATTAATGACCGCTAATTAGTGCCTTTAATCGAGCTGGGCAAACGGTGTCGGCGAGGGGATGGAGAGGCCCCGTGCCAGGGGGGCGCTTGAGGAGGGGGCTGCGCTGCCTCCTCCCCCCGCAGAGCTTCGGAGGGGGCCGGAACATCCAGCCCGGTCCCAAAGCGGCGGCGGGGGCCGGGATTTGGGGACAATGCCTGGCCGTGTGACTGCCGGCGCCGGCAGCTGTCAGGAAACCTCTCCTGACCGGGAAATGCTTCCCCTGCCCCGGGATGGCCGCGGGACCCCGGCCGGGGAGGCTGGAGGTGGCTCTGGACAGGAGGGATGGAAAAAGGATGGGAAGGAGCGCTGGAGCCGGGCAGCATCGCCCTTCCCAGGGCACCCGAGGGCTGGCAGAGCAGCCGGTGGCCAGATCACCACCGCCAGCGGTGGGCTGTGGGTTGGATACATCCTTAGGGAAGCACAGCCTGATGGGGTGTGCAGGTCCTCCCCCCCCCCGCACCCCTTTGTGGAGGGGGGAGCGGCTGCTTCACCCCGAAGTGCCTCTGCATCCCAATCCCCGCGGAATGCCGGATTGGGAACTGGGCGCAGGCGTGTCCGTGTGAGTGTGGGTCCCTCTGCTGGCACCTCGGGGCGCCGGACCCCGCCGTGCCACCCCCGCTGTCTCCCCAGGGACCATGCGGCCCGTGCGGAGGAACTTCTACGACCCCTCCTCAGCTCCGGGCAAGGGAATCGTGTGGGAATGGGAGAACGACAACAACTCCTGGACTCCCTACGACATGGACATCTGCATCACCATCCAGAACGCCTACGAGAAGCAGCACCCCTGGCTGGACCTCTCCTCCCTGGGCTTCTGCTACCTCATCTACTTCAGCAGCATGTCCCAAATGAACCGGCAAACGCAGCGCAAGCGGCGGCTCCGGCGCCGCATGGACCTGGCCTATCCCCTCACCATGGGCTCCATCCCCAAATCCCAGTCGTGGCCGGTGGGCGCCAGCACGGGGACCCCCTGCTCGTGCCCGCAGTGCCTGCTGGTCAACAGCACCCGCGCCGCCTCCAACGCCATCCTGGCATCGCAGCGCCGCAAACTCTACCCCGGCGCCGTCCGGCAGAGCAGCACCTTCGCCGGGGGGGCCCTGTGGCCGCCGGGGCCGGCGGCGGGGGCGGGGGGCGCG